AGCATCAACTTGAAATCCAGGTTGTTAGGTCCAAGTGTGGATGAGGCTCCTTGGTTATAGTTCCACAAGTACAACTTCTTATGATGTGAACACCTATGAATTAAAGAAACAAGTTTTCTGCCCCTCATGCACCCAACATACAGTGATGGGACCAGGCATGTACTAAACAGGTATAGAGATTCCTATTTAAAAAGGGAGAAAATGGGAGGCACAAAGAAGTCATACTGATTCATAGCAGTTCTGATTTTATCTGGATAAATGTTGGAAGTTTCTTGATTAGGACTTAGTTCTTCTTTTGCGCAGGAATGCTGCTCTGGTGGCTCATGTTTCCTCCTCCTAGGCTCTTGGTTTCAGCCTCTGAGTTATCTTTTCTTTTCCATGAAAAATAGTCCAGATTTGCAGCTGCATAGTTTTCTTAGTCTGCTTCTTGCCAGTAGAATTTTGAGGGCCCAAGGGGCTTCTTTTCATTTTGTTTTGCCTCTGTACCTTTCAGTGTAACCTGGCAATGTTTCTTTTTTTTTTTTTTTTGCCACCCAGGCGCCCTGGCAGTGTTTCTTTTTAAAACTTAGGGTCTCCTGTGAATGTTACTGAGATTCCTGCCATAAACAAATGCCACACCCACAGATCTCTTCCAGATAATCTCCTTTCTCCCTTGGGCTTCTGCTGGGATTGCTGAGGGACAATACTTGCAGTGGATAGAATTTTATCCTCCAAAAAGATATGTTCGGGTCCTAACCCCCACTACCTGTGAATGTGACTTTATTTGGCATAAGGTCTTTACAGATGTAATCAAGTTAAGGTGAGATCATATTGGGTTAGAGTGGGCCCAACTGCAATGGCTGGTATTCTTAGAAGAGAGAAATTTGGACACAGAAGATACAGGAAAGAAAGTCACCTGAAGACCCAGGCAGAGATTAGAGTAATGTGTCTGCAAGCCAAGAAACAGGAAAGATTGCTAGGAACCACCACAAACTAGAAGAGGGGCATGGAACAGATTTTCCCTCAGAGCCTCCAGACGGAACTAACCCTAACAACATCTTGATTTTAGACTCTGGCTTCTAAAACTTCTTAAATTCCTTTCTTTTTAAACCATATAGTTTGTGGGAATTTGTTATGGCAGCCCTTGGGGACTAATAATACCCTTACGCTTCTTGGAAGCCCATTTGTTTAACTGAGTAGTTCTTTAGGCTATATAGATCTTTCTGAGGTCTTAACAAAGAATTTTTATAGCCGCATTCTAGGCTTCCTCGTTAACCATTTTCTTTCGGCAGTGCCATGGATTTGATCTTTCCTTGGAAGCCATTTCTTAATTTTAGTATCATTTACCATCTGGAGCGGCAGGGAATTTTCAGAATTATTTAGTCTTGACTCCCTTTTTGTTTAACTATCCTTCCCCATAGGGGTGTCTGGCTGGCTCAGTCGGAAGGGCATGTCATGACCCTTGATCTTAGGGTGTGAGTTCGAGCCCTGTGTTGGGTGTAGAAATTACTTTAAAAAAATTTTTAAAAATAAACTTTATCCTTTCCTTTAATTTATCCTTCTCTTCTTGCATTTTAATATAAGCAGCAAGAAGCAGCTAAGAGGTACCTTTAGCATTCTTGTCTGGACATCTTGTTAGCTAGACTATTACCCCAGTTCATGAGCCACAACTTCAACTTTACGTGTTATGACAGGCAACAACTTTTGCTACTACATAACAAGGATCCCTTTCCCTCCAGTTTCCAAGAAGATTTTTCTCACTTAAGTTCTCAACCATAAATTCCTCAAAGGCGATCATACTTCTACTATTTCTTCAAGGCTCTTCAAACTGTCACTGATATTCTTCTCAGAGTCCTTCCAACTTTTACCCTCTGTTGGGTTCTAAATCTTCTCCCACATTTTAGGTTTTTATTGTAACAGAACACACTTCCAGGTATCAAAATCTGAATTAGTTATCTATTGCTCTGTAACAGGTTACACTAGTTTAGTGGCTGAAAATGACAAACGTTAATTATCTCATAAGTTCACTGGGTCAGGAATTTGGGGCAGTTTAGCTGGGTGGTTTTGGCCCAGTGTCTTATGAGCTTTTAGTCAAGATACTGGCTATTATTGAAGTCATCTGAAGGATTAACTGAGAATTACTCATATTCTGGCAAGTTTGTTCTGGCTGTTGGGAGGAGGCTTCAGTTCCTTATCATGTGGGCTTTTACTGGACTGCTTGACATGGCACTTTTCCAAAGAAAGTGATTCGAGAGAGCACAGTGCTCTTTATGGCCTAATCTTGGAAGTCACAGATTATCCTGCCATATTCTGTTGTTAAGAAGTAAGTCACAGTATGGTATTGGCTTAAAACAGACACCTAAATCAATGGAACAGAATAGAGAGCTTAGAAATAAGCTCAAAGGAGCCAAGAATATACAATGGGGAAAGGGCAGTTTCTTCAACAAATGATGTTGGGGAAACTGGACCACTATCTTACACCATACATAAAAATTAACTCAAAATGAATTGAATATAAGACCTGAAACCATAAGCCTTTTAGAGGGGAACATAAGCGATAACCTCTTTGACATCTGTCTGGTAATGATTTTTTGGATCTGACCTCAAAAGTAAAGGCAACAAAAGCAAAAATAGACAAGCTAACAAACTAAAGAGCTTTTGCACAACAAAGGAAACTGTCAACAGAATGAAAAGGCAACCTATTGAATGGGAGAATTTGCAAATCTGATAAGGGGTTAATAGCCAAAATATAGAAAGGACTCATGTAATGCAATACCAAAAAAAGAAAACCAATTTGATTAAAAAATGGATCAGAAGAAGTTTTTCTGAAGAAGATACACAGATGGCCAAAATGTACATGAAACTGTGCAGGGAAATATAAATCAAAACCACAATGAAATGTCACCTCACACCTGTTAGAATGGCTGTTATCAAAAAGACAAGAAGTAACAAGTGTTGGCGAGGCTGTGAAGAAAAGGAAACCCTCGTGAACTGTTGGTGGGAATGTAAATTGGTGCCCCCACTATGGAAAACAGTATGGAGGTTCCTCAAGAAATAAAAATAGAGCTACCATATGACCCAGCAATTCCACTTCTGGGTATTTATCTAAAGAAGATGAAAACCTTAATTCAAAAAGATATATACATCCCTATGTTCATTACAGTATTACTTATAATAGCCAAGACGTGGGGACAACCCAAAGGTCCACTGATGGATAGTGGATAAAGACAATGTGATTTGTATAAATACCCACCAAACACACACACACTGGAATATTACTTGGCAAAAAAAAAAAAAAAGAAATCTTGCCATTTGCAACAACATGGATGGACCTTAAGGACATTGTGACAAGTGAAATATGTCAGATGGAGAAAGACAAGTATCATAAGATCTCACTTATATGTAGAATTTTAATTAAAAAAAAAAAGCTTATTGATAAAGAGAATAGATTGGTGGTTGCCAGAGGTAGGGGGTAGGGTGTGAGCAAAATAGAAGGGGGTCCAAAGGTACAAACTTCTAGTTATAAAATAAATAGTGGGGATGTAATGTACAGCATGGTGACTGTATCATCAGGAAAATGCAAATCAAAACTGTAAAGATATTATAGTTTATTACAGTTAATTATAGGTAACTACAGTATTATAGTTAATAATAATATATTACATATTTGCAAGTTGCTAAGAAAGTAGATCCTAAGAGTTGTAATCACAAGCAAATAAAAATTCTGTAACTATGTATGGTGATGAATGTTAACTAGTCTTATTGTGGTGGTCATTTACAATATATACGAACAACGAATCATTATGTTGTAACCTGAAACTAATAGAATGTTCATGTGAATTATACCTCAATTAAAAAAAAAAAGAAGAATTAAGTCACTAAGCCTACACTCATAGGATCATAAAATAATTTGTGGACATTTTTTTGTGGACATATTTCAAAACACATAGTGTAGTTAGCTATTTGAACTTTGAGGAATAGGGAGAGTCTAATATTGGCTACTGCCATTGTTATATTGATTGGCCTAATAAATAAAGTGGGAACCAGGGGGTTAAAAGTACGTATCATATCAATTATATCTCAGCAAAGCTGGAGGAAAAAAGTGCGTTATCATTCACAAAACAAGAGATCTAGGAGAAAAATTTCTTCAGTCTTTTTCTTTTGCCCGTTATCTCTTTGGGTAACAAAGATCAACTCACTAATAAAAGGACTGGGTAGATGTGCCATCCTAAGTGTTCAGAATGACAAGTGTCAGGTGTGTGTGTGTGTATGTGTGTGTGTGTGTTTGAATGTGTTTGTGTTATAGGCAATTGGAACACCTTTTGAGGGCTAATATAGCATGTTGATAAATGTTGGTAAAATGGGATTATTCTCAAAAAAATTTTTTACAGGGCTCTTTGAATAATATCTTACATAGAAACCAATGGGTAAAACATATAAAAATGGAACTACTGTTGTTAAAGGATGGGCCCAGATCCCACTGATTTAGCATCCCTTTCAGCCTCATGTTGCTGCCAGGGATCCAAGGAACATAGTGTGAAAACTACACCATGTAATCAGTCCCTTTCGAGCCTAATTCACAAAAAATCTATTAATACATAAGATTGTAGGGCACCTGGGTGGCTCAGTCGTTAAGCATCTGCCTTCGGCTCAGGTCGTGATCCTGGGGTCCTGGGATCGAGTCCTGCATCGGGCTCCCTGCTCAGCGGGGAGTCTGCTTCTCCCTCTCCCACTCTCCCTGCTTGTGTTCCCTCTCTCACTGTGTCTCTCTCTGTCAAATAAATAAAATCTTTAAAAAAAAAACAAAAAAACATAAGATTGTAGAGCTCAGCAGGATAGCCATAATAGCAAAATAGCACTTTACTAGGTAGCAGACTGATTTCTGGTATTATCTACTGTATAATGGTTAGTGAAAACCCATGGTGATTTGAAGAAGTAGTCAATGATTGGTCAGCCACAGATACCTGTAGAATACTTTTCATTAGTCTGTTGTCTTACCGAATTGTTTTTTCCTTCAACAGAATAATACAACAGATCTTTACAGGATTCTTTGCAAATTCTGCAGTTCCTGGATCCTCACATCCTTTTTCCTGGTAAGTAACTAATTGCCCTCTGTCTTACTTTGCTGGAGTTGCAGCATGTTAGGTATCTGTACCACTGCGACAAAGTAGGAGCTGCATAGGTGAGTATAAAGATTTGATTCACAGACTGTTAGATTGCTTTTATTTGCTGAGCCCAAACTTAATCAGAACTTCGTTTTTATTGCTCAGTCTCCTGAGGGCCGTCCTGGTCCCCCAGGGTGTGCAGGCACTGGATGTGTCGGTTTTGGTTCATTTTCTGGTCTGAGAGTTGTGTTGAGAGGGAAATGAGATGGTCCCCGCCAGGCCTGGTATCTGGACTTACAGGTTTCTTTTCTAGATCATACGGGAAGATGTTATTCTTTCAGAATTTCTGAAATTAAAAACATGTTGCTTAACTTCCTTTTCTCAAAGTAAGAAGGTTTGTCAGAAGAAACAAAGGCTGTAATTCTGTATCAGAGTGACACTTAAGTACGGTAGGGGTTAAGATGGAATTTCCTCTCTTCTGGACAATTACATGCCACTTCTGACTCTGCCCCAGAAGGCTCCTTTGCTCAGAGGGACCTCAGTCCTTCCACACGGTTACCCTATTTTCCAGCCTCTCGTTTCTTTTTAACATGTTCTAGCCAAAGAGTCTGGACATCTGTCATCCGGGGTAGTGCACCAGCAGCTCTAGAAAGAGGTGCTGCCAAGTCCCTTTTGTAATTGCTCTAAGTTGTGATTCAGAAAGACTGCTGTGGCTGTTTTTCTACTTGAAAGCTCCTCATTGTCGAGGACCATGGGCAGCCTCTTAGAATGAAGGAAGTCTGCTATCGATTTTGCCAGTCACAAAGGGAAAACGCTCCTTAAAAAGCAGCTCCATCTATGTTTACTGTAAATGGGCACAGTTAGAAGACAAACTTTTCTTAGCCAATAGGCAAGGAGTCACTCTTTTTGCTCTGGTGTGTCATGTGGTATTTTAGGTAGCTTCACATTTTATGTTCTATTCAATTAAGTAAAAATTCCTTACTTAAGAGAATAAGAGACTACTTCCAGATAATCTGTTTGACCTTAAAAATATTGAGAAATTCTTTGCCACTTGATTTTAGAGAAGTAGTGACTTTCCAGCTCTGAGAGAGAGCAGGATCTGCCAGTTTTTTCTGTGGTGTAAGGCAGAGCCTGGTCACTCCATCTAATGCTGTCTGTCTCATCTCATGTATAGGAGCGGGATGCTGCACTCCAACCCTGGGGACTATGCCTGGGGTCAGACAGGGCTTGATGCCATTGTAACCCAGGTGAGGAGCTGCCTTTTGAGGGTGTCTGTTCAGTGTGTCTCATGGTTCCACAGGCTTCCTGCTTTCCTTCTGCTACTTTCTGAAATGGCAGTCACTCTGCTTTCCCTAATATTTTGAGCTTGTGGGTTTCCATTTTACTGAAGGGATAAATGGCTTATGGGTTTAGTTTAGCATCCATGTACCTTCTAGGTCCTAGGGACTTTCTAGAAGATGGCTTCACCTCCATAGGAAGAAAAGACTTCTCCTGTAACAAACAGTATTTTGTATTTTTGGCCTCTTGTTCAGTCCTATGAGGAACCTATTAACAGGTGCTTCACAAAAAAGGAGGGTGTCCTCACATGTTGAAGCAGGGATTTCTGCTAGATGGAGCAAAGTAGGGGAAGGAAGCAGAGAAAAAGGTATTCCCATGCCATGTGTAATTTCTTCCACTTATTTATGTTTATTTTAATTTAATTGGTTTTTCATTTCCCTTGTGGACTGCTGAGAATAGAAAGCATGTCATTTATATCCAAATCTTCTCATAGGCAGTAATTTACCTATTTCTTGGCGTACTTTATGCTATTTTCCATACTCCCACCCTTTTTTTTCTTCCAGCAGAATGAAATTTTTAGACCAGTTAAGTATTACTTTTTGTTCAGTTGTAGTTTTATTCCTGACATCACAACGCTTATGCTGCCTCTGAAGTTGCTTTATGCCTGGAGGTGGACCTTGCAATGATAGGTTTGTCTGTAGACTTATACTAATGTCACTCTGAAATTGTAAAGGAATTATGAGTGTTCTGGCAGCAGGAAAGGGAGGGGAAACCCAAGCCTCTCAGAGCCCTGCAGAAATAAGAGCAACTAACATTTCTAATATATGCACTGTTTGTTCTCAGCTGGAGCAGCTCCCTCCCCAGGGATAGTGGGATATCTGCCACTTCTTCTTCTTTTTCTTTTTCCTTTTTTTGTAGCTTTTAGGACAACTGGAAAACACAGGGCCTCCCCCAGCTGACAAGGAAAAGATCACATCTCTTCCAACAGTGACAGTAACTCAGGAACAAGTTGGTAGGTTCAGTTCTATACTTATTCTGTCAGCTTCTGATCTCTGTTCAAAATCCCAGTACCTTCCTATACTAAGGATCTTCAGTTAAAGCTATAGCCCTCCTGAAATTCCTACAGGGGTGTCATATATGGAAGATGCCTACCTTTTCTTTAGGATTAGTCACGTCAATGCAGAGTGGACAAACCTTTTTTTTAAATTATAAAGAGAAAGGAAGAGAGTTTTATTCAAGTCTAAGTTAGGACAGTTGCTGGGGTTGCACTGTCTTTCATGAAGAAGAGAGAGCTCCAGGGAAAAACCATTTGGTAAAGGGTTATATGTTTTTTTGTTTGTTTTGAGGTAGGCTCCATGCCCAGTGTGGGGCTTGAACTCATGACCCTGAGATCAAAACTGAGCCAGCCAGGCGCCCCTGTTTTTAATATAGTTGCAAATTATTATGACAAAGGACAGTCCAGAAAGTTACAGACTTCATCTTATGTTTTTAGTACGTGCAAATCTATATGACTTTAATCTTATGGAGATGAGGGAGGTTTTTTTTTGTTTTTCTTTATGTTTGGAATGCTCCTTTTTGGTTATTAACTATTTTTTTTTTTTTTAAGATTTTATTTATTTATCTGAGAGAGAATGAGAGACAGAGAGCACGAGAGGGAAGAGGGCAGAGGGAGAAGCAGACCCCCTGCTGAGCAGGGAGCCCGATGCGGGACTCGATCCAGGGACTCCAGGATCATGACCTGAGCCGAAGGCAGTCGCTTAACCAACTGAGCCAGCCAGGCGCCCTATTACTTTTTTTTTTTTTTAACAAAGTAGATATACAGTGTGTGCTCAGGGCAGAAGTAGAACCCATGCTTTGAGGTTTTGTGGAGTCATTATGACCTTGGTAAATGTTCAAGTATATAGATTCCCTGGGGCCCAGGAGCAGGGCCTGCAAATGTTGAAAGCAGAGAATTTCTTTTATCAGCCAGCAAGTATTTCCTCAACAGCCACCATGTCCTTTTTCTAGGTGCCTTGCAGGAAACAAAGAGGTACAAGATAAGACTTGATTTCTTGAAGAGCTTACCAGGGGAAGCAAAACTTAACTAAATGATTAGAAAACAGTATAAAAAACAATATTGAGCAGATGATACAGAGAAAGGAAAAAAATGGGAGGCTGGGAATTTGTTTCATATTTACTCTGTCAGATACAGTTAGGTACTTGAGACATAGATATTATTTTTAAGCACTGAAGGAATTTAGTGACAAGGAGCACTATTTTGAACTAAGAGTTTCTTTCCCCACAAATTCCAGTTTAAGTTGGAGAAGATTTTTAAAGACAGGATAGGCCATCTTAGAGAGGTCATTCTGTTCAAGGAAAAGTATGAACCAATGTGAGAATGTCAGCATGGACATAGTGTCAGAATCAGGTATAAGGAGAGTGACTTTATTAGCCCTGAAATAGTGTCTGGTTTGGGGGTAGTGGGAGGCATGACTGGTTAGGAAGGGGCCTGTCTGTGTAGACCTTTAAACTGGCAGAGTAGTTAGGGCTGGATATTTTATTTTACTTTATTTTATTTTTAAAAAGATTTTATTTATTTATTTGACAGAGAGAGCAAGAGAGGGAACACAAGCAGGGGGAGTGGGAGAGGGAGAGGCAGGCTTTCCGCGGAGTAGGGAGCCCGATGCGGGGCCCGATCCTAGGATCCCAGGATCCTGGGATCAGGACGTGAGCTGAAGGCAGATGCTTAACTACTGAGCCACCCAGGCACCCCAAGGGCTGGATATTTTAGATAGGAGGCAAGTTTCATAGTTCCCCAAGTGGAGGATTGAAGGAATTTAGGTGGTCTTTAGGGAAGATTAGTTTGGAGGTAGTATCTCAGAGTGGAAGGCCAAGAAAGCAGAAGCAGGGATTTAAGGGGCTGCTACAACATCTAGGTGGGGTGCAGGTAATGGTGGCAGTGCTGACGGAAGGGTAGACTGAATATGGAAGAGTAGACTCAATATCGCTTTGAAGAAAGGCTTTTATCACTGATTGCATAATAGGATAAAGAAGGGAAAAGGGTCAAAGAGGCCTCAAGGTTTTGCAGCTTGGGAACTGCAGAGCTGGTGCTGCCATCTATCAGGGGTGGGAGAATGGTGAGCAGGCCCTGGTTTGGGTATGGAAGTGATGTGATACTTTTAATTTTGAACTTGTTGATTTTGAGGTACCAGCTGGGAATCCCAAGTAAAGATGAGCTGGGAATTGCTATGAGGCTAGTATTAGGGAAAATTAGCTGGTTGCAAAGCTTAGGTAAATTTGGAGGGTTGAAGGCTAGGATCAAGGATACTACCTGGGAGGCTGTTCCAATAGACAGCCTAAATTTTATTAAAGCTAGAATTGAGGTAAAGATGTTAGGGAAGAGTGGAGAGGAAGGAGTAAATCTGTTAGGTGGTACTCACTCCAGGTCCTTGACTGCTGTGGGCACGTAGCACGCCCTGGCCACTGGAGAGAGACACTAGCTGGTATCGTTAGCCAGACTTGGGAAACTCTGACTTTGCTGCCTCGTACTCCCAATTTAGCTTGTAGGCATTTCCTCATAAAGAGTGTTTCTTGTCTTGACTTGGAACCTGAGCTATCCTTGGGCTTTGCAATTCTGCAGCACCACCTCCTGGTACAGCTTTTAATTACCAACCTGTACAGAGGGCTTTAGGACAACCACTCTGAAAGAAGTTGTGAAATGTGGAAAATAGCAGGGTAAAAGTGGCTTGAGACACTGACTGGGAGCTGCTAAGATTGCCGAGATGCATCCCTTGGTTGTGGTGGACAGACTGCCTGTGTTTACTAAGTAGAAACTGCCAGAAGGTCTGGGAAGATGTTTTTCCTGTTTTACTTAACAGATAATCTAAGCCCTGGTTTATTTTTTTCCAAGTCTTGACATTGAAAAGTAGACCTTACATAGTTTCTCTGTAGCCCTTCTTAAGCCCATTCATGTCCCTGTCTACTACCACCTCCTCCCCCATTTTGAAATAAAATTCCTGCTTCCTACCTCCTCCACCTAGGATGCACTTAATTGTATCTTTTCTGTAGGCATTCCTTTGGTTAAAAGACAGTGGGCTAGTTTTTTCTTCTTTCTTTTTGCTCGCTTACTTTAGAAGGCATTTCCTCCTCCAACAGATATGGGTTTAGAGTGTCCAGTGTGCAAAGAAGATTACACAGTTGATGAGGAAGTCCGGCAGTTACCCTGCAACCACTTCTTCCACAGCAGTTGTATTGTACCGTGGTTAGAACTGGTGAGTACAGACAGCTGTCGTGTGTTTTGGGCCATCTCTGCCAGTCACATCTCCTCGGGGTGGGGGGATGGTTTGGAGTTCATGGAGAGCCAAGCAGAGCTGATTTTAGTCGCTGGCTAATTCCTACTGGCGTCATTACCGTTTTTTAGATCACTACGTGTTTGGAATTTCTCTGACCAGAGGTTACCAGACCACAGCCCACAGGTCTCGGGCCTGCCACCTGTTTTTGTAAATGAAGTTTTCTTGGAACACAACTACGCTCATTTGTTTACAGTTGTCTGTGGCTACTTTTGTGCCATGTCAGCAGAGTTGAGTGGTTGTGACACAGGTGGTGTGGCCTGTGAAGTCTAAAATATTTACTACCAGTCCCTTCACAGAAAGTTTGCTGACCGCTGCTCTAGACCATATCAGGTCACTGTTTCTTTCTTTCTTTTTTAAAGATTTTATTTATTTGAGAGAGAGAGAGCACATAAGTGGGAGGAGGGGGTTGTTGGGAGGGGAGGAGGGGGTTGTTGGGAGGGGCAGAGGGAGAGGGAAAAGCAGACTCCCCACTGAGCAGGGAGCCTGGACGTGGGGCTCCATCCCAGGACCCTGAGATCATGACCTGAGCCGAAGGCAGACCCTTAAGTGACTGAGCCACCCAGGCACCCCCAGATACTGTTTCTGGTTAGTTCTGTTTGGTGATGTGTGGTAGCTGTTGTTAAATTGCTGGCCTAGAATTCTGTCATTTCTGTTTAAAGTTCGTTTGGGAGATGTCCTGGGTTATACCTTTGAGTCCAGCATGCACTGTGTGAGAATACATGCCCTTTCTGTTTTTCTACTGCCAGCTCTCAGGGTTTCTTAAGTGTTTAGCACTTCCAGCTTCTCAGGTCAGGCTATTTACATGGACATCTTTCTGTTTCAGCATGACACGTGTCCTGTATGTAGGAAGAGCTTAAATGGTGAGGACTCTACTCGGCAAACCCAGAGCTCTGAAGCCTCTGCAAGCAACAGATACAGCAGTGACAGCCAATTACATGACCGATGGACTTTCTGAAGCTAAAGCCTGCATCTGAGCCAGGGCTGTGGTAGTCTTCTTATCACAGCTGTCAATTGTATCAAAACAAAAAAATAGTAGGTGGATTTAGGAATTGCATAAGAAACCCCAACCCATAATATTAATGCAGTGAGTGTTTTTCTTCTCCAAATTTAAAGTTAGTATCTGCAGATGGAATTGTATCTACAACCAAATGCCTCTTATTCCTGAATTCAGAGTGATACTTTTATAAGTGTGAAACTTGATTATGTGGGTTTCCCCTGCCAGAATAGAATCATTTTACCTTAAAGTCTAGCTAGGGTCCCACTATCTGTCATGTTCTCTTGTAGTGGATGTTTCCACCTCCTTCTCTAACTTCCACCCTACCATTAGTGTATTTAATTATAGTAGATGCAGTGGAACCACAGTCCTAAAGTCCTGCTGATATAAAGTCTTTCTGTTTTAATTGTACAAAAGCATCTACTCTTGGCCACATAAGCCACAAAGCAAGATCAGATTAACTCAGGAATCTGAGACTAATGATTTTGTTTTGTTTTGAATCCTCAGAAAATCAAAGAAAAATTACAGTGGGGAGGAGCAAGTGGCCGATCATTGTACTCTTTGATTTTCTCATTTTAATTTTTAAAGACTACTTCACAAGGTGCAGTTTCTGCAGAAGCCAACATGACATATCTTAGGAATCTTACGTTGTTGGGAATCTGATTCTGGTTCCCTTTTGGAAATGAGTTGGGCAGCATACAGGCACAGAAGGACAGGTATTTGAAATCTTTGGTTCTGAGGTTTCTTTAATGACCCCCAACTCATTGTTTACTGCCTTTTGTCATAGGGACCTTAAAATAATTTCCCTCAGAAATAGAATTACTTTATTACTGCTTCTACAGCCAATTCACTGTTTTTAGTAATTCATTGGTCTTCAGGAATTGAGATTTCACATTGTCTCATTTTAATTTTTTAAGCCCTTTTATCATCTCTGAAATCTTTCTGTTCTGCTTGGTTCTGGTTGTACTTGGTATCAAACTGATTGTTGTGATCATGCCCGAAACAGCTTGGCCTTGGAGAGGTGGGCCTTCTATTTTCAGCCTAACAGTGTCTCATTGCACATGCACATGCTCTTTGAAGCATTTAAGTGTTTAAAGTTGAATAAATGAAGAAGATCAAGAATGTTGTTGGAACTTTAGAGTCTCAAAAGGAAATGATGGGGGCATGTAACCACTGTTAGCGCACCATAGAGGGTGATGGGGCTCCATTTGTCTGGTCACATCAGCCCTTCATAGTTTGGAATGATTCGAACAAGAAGGCCACTCTTTATGAGTGTCTTTCTTGGCTAGGAGTCTTTCCTCAATTTTTGTTGACTATCATACACTGGTTTTGGGGGCGAGGGAAAGGGGTTAGAGATATCTTTGTACTTTGGCAGAGGATAAAGAAGTAGGGGAGGGAAGAGAGACAGTGGGAGAGTGGCTTGCTGAATTAACAGCCTGCCTCTAAAATTGTGACCAAAAGGTATGATTCATGTTAGACCCAGAGGAAATAAAAGATGTTTTCTCCTCTGCCTCTCATGTTATACCTCTACAGAGATCATTTCTTTGGAGAATGTGAGCTATTTACTATGGGTATCGATGTGTAGCCTGCTACACATTGGTTTTGAGGGTGGGGGGCACTGGGGTCAAGAAGCTTAGGTGGGGGGGAGGGGTGAGAGGTATATTCTGAATATTTAATTGCCACTGCATAGATGGAGAAAGGCCATGCTGAAGTTGGAACACATTGTAGTTTTCAAGTAGAACAGTGTCCACTGTCTCAGAAAAATTATGACAGCCAGAAATTACTTTTATAACTTCATTCCTTTCATTCTGGAGATGCCAGACAAGCAGTTGTGTTTTTACTACAAATAGAAAGCTAGAGAACCAGAAAGGATCTGAGTAGCTCACAAAGGGTCAGAAAGAAAGTACTGGATAGGGAGTTACCTTTTCAAAACACAGAATAGCAAATAGTGTCAGTCTCAGTTATCTGAAAATTTCTTCACTTTTTTTGCTCTGATAGAGGACATGAGGCTCCTTTTGCTGTTTCCTGTACCTTTTCCACTTAATGATTCTGTAGTGTCTTTCTCAGAGGTATCTTGGAATTGCAGGTTAATTTAGGTTAAGGAGTGTACTAGGGTTCTCCCGAGAAGCAGAATCAATAAGGCAATAAGGTATGTGTGTGTTTGTGTCTGTGTGTGTGTGTCTGTGTGTCTGTGTGTCTGTGTGTGTCTGTGTAAAGAGATTTATTATAAGGAATTAGCTTGTGTGATTATGGAGGCTAAGAAGTTTCAAGATCTCCAGTCAGCCAGTCAGTTCTAGTCTGATTCCAAAGGCCTGAGCACCAGGAGAGCCAGTGGTATAAATTCCAATGCAAAAGCTGGTGGAAGTTTTGAGACCCAAGAAAAGCCAGTTTTTGTTTTTGTTTTTGTTTTTAACATTTTATTTGAGAGAGAGCCAGAGAGCACGAGAGAGTGGGAGAAGCAGACTCCCTGCTGAGCAGGGAGCCTGGTGCAGGGCTTGATCCCAGGACCCTCAGATCATGACCTGAGCCAGAGGCAGATACTTAACTGACGAGCTACCCAGGCGCCCTGAAAAGCCAGTGTTTTAGTTTGAGTCCAAAGGCAGGAAAAGACTGATGTCCTAACTCAAACAGGCAAGAGGAGTTCTCCCTTGCTAGCTGGAGTGTCAGACATTTTGTTCTAGTTGGGCCTTTAACTGATTGGAGGAGGCCCACTGACATTGAGGAGAGCAATCTGCTCTAATTAGTCTACCTATTCAAATGTTAATCTTATCAGACATACCCTCACAGACACACCCAGAATAATCTGTGACCAAATATTTAGTTACTCCTTGGCTCAGCCAAGTTGACATAAAATTAACCATCACAGGAGGGAAAATAGAAATGCACACAGGGAGACAAACCATAAGAGACTCTAGATCTTAGGAAACAAACTGAGGGTTGCTGGAGGGGAGGGGGAGTGAGGGGTTGGGATAACTGGGGATGGGGTAACTGGGTGATGGACATTGGGGAGGGTATGTGTTGTAATGAGCATTGGGTATTATATAAGACTAATGAATCACAGACCTGTACCCCTGAAATAAATAATACATTATGTTAATTAATTGAATTTAAATTAAAAAGAAATGCATACAGCAGAGTGATACCCATCCCACTTAAGTTTTGCCAGATAAACAGTGTGTCTCTATGAGAAATGTCTGCTTTGCTTGGAGACCTCAGTAATAGGGTTAAAAAGTAGAAGAAATATATATGGGATGAGGGCCAATTTGCTGTGTGCAACATACCTATTTTTCTTCCTTAATGTAAATTAACCTGGAAGTCTGAGATGCCTCCCATTCTAGGAAGAAACATTGCAGATACATTGATCTAACACCCGAAACATGGCTGGGGCTAAGTGTTAGTTTCTAGGAATGCCTTGCTCTTAAATGTTTCAAACAGTTTTAGATACAGTGCCCAAGGCAGAGGGCTACATAACCCCGACTTTTATAACTTCATTCCTTTACATTTGGAAGACTTACAGACTCAGGAATCTGGAGCCTTTATAGGAGTCAAAGGAGAGATGATTTAACTCTTGCTGATTGTCACAGAGAATAGGAAACAATTGCAATTTCAGATCTTGAACCCTTATACTTGAGGCCTTTATATTCATATTAAATGGCCTGTGGATTCCATGCAGAGCTAAACAGATTGTTTCCTTTTTTTTTAGAGAAAGAGTGCACACATGGGGTGGGGGGGGGAGCGGAAGGCGGGCAGAGCGAGACGGAAAGAAAGAGTCTCAAGCAGGTTACGGGCAACGTGAAGCCCAATGTGGGGCTTGATCTCACAACCCCAAGATCCTGACCTGAGCCAGAGTCAAGAGTTGGAGGCTTAACTGACTGAGCCACGCAGGCGCCCCAACAGATTATTTTCTTATTCATGAATGTCTTTTCTTCTTTATCTTCCCTTTGTCCACTATAATTTGAAATTAGAGGGGCGCCTGGGTGGCTCAGATGTTTAAGTGTCTGCCTTTGGCTCAGGTTGTGGTCTCCAGGTCCTGTGATTGAGCCCCACATTGGGCTCCCGGCTCAGCAGAAAGTCTGTTTTTCCCTCTGCCTCTCCCCCTGCTTGTGCTCTCTCTGTCTCTCTCAAATGAATAAATAAAATCTTTTTAAAAATTTAAAAAATATATAAATAAAGAAAGAAAGAAATTAGAGGGAGGAAAACTATTTTGTTAGCACATAATTAGAGACCTCCTAGAGACTGGTAAACTTACAAGTTGGGAACTGATACAGGGCAACTCCTTGCTGGCTTCCAAGTGATGATTGCTTCTGGGGTAGTTTCCTTAGGGATTAGTCTAACTCAGGTTCATATGGGTTATCTGGCTGGATAGAACTGGGAAGTTTGGTGGGAAGGGCAGAGTGGTGAACATTTAGCTGAGATCTCCAACATCTTTACAATTTCTAAGCTAATGAGTTGGGAGCAGGAAGAAAGAATAACTCTGGCCTTAAAAATTCATTTTCCCTCAAAGTTCCTACTGCCAGTTCTCTGAAAAGCTGGGAAACATGGAAAATCCAGAATGGCATTTTGTCCCTGTTGCTGTAGCTCCTGGACTTTTCCTTAACATTGTTCTAATTTATAAGAAAAGGGAATTACTCTAGGTAGGAGATGTGGAGATGGCTATAAATTAAATAGCTTCCTTAGCTTATTATAAATTTTAGTTGTCAGCATTTGCAACTGTTGAGCAAGTGCTTATTAGATGTTTTCTTTGAGCAGTACTCTCTCTGGTCCATTAGTTCTCAAGTTTGAAGGAAGTTTTCTAGGGAAGAATTTGTTTTTTTCCCCAACAGCTCTCACTTTGGTTTAATAGCTAATAGAAAAAATTCCTTGTTTTTGTCTTTGTGTTCCACATTTGTGTGTGTGTGTGTGTGTGAGAGTATGTGTGTGTGTGTGTTCATATATGCACTAGAGGAAGAAAGGGATGTGGTGGCTCCTGGGGTAAAGTTAGCAGGTATAGCAGAGGGCTGGAGCCTCAGTCCGATTCTCTCACTGTACATACCTCAGGCCCTTGTGTTTCCATAGTTCTCTGCTGAGAACTAGGGGCATTGTTGGGTTGGCTGCCAACCAGACACCGTGCTATATAGTGTGTGGCTAAGGGATTCACTGGAGGTAAAAGCCTAGTCATTTCTAAGGATTGAGGAAAAAAATGGCTTTGAGGATAGCTATTATCCTCTGTTTCTGTAGTATAATTAGTTGAACACAAATGCAATTATCTGTTGCTTTTTATTTTTATTTTTTATTTTTTTAGAAATTACTGTTACCAAATTGACTTTTCTCTTGACCTTCTGCATGCTTCAGTTTCTTTCACTCTGGTATCCACGTGCTCTTTCCTCAAGGAATACAAATGATATCAGTCTTAACAAAAACTAATCGGGAGGGAACCATAGTTTGTATGTTTAAACAACAATAGAATAGCCTTTTGGGCTTTTGGAAGAGGGAGCTCTTTAGAGTTGGGTGTTAGAGCTGGTCTAGGCAGGCCAGTGACATCTGTGAAGGAAGACAGATTTTAGGAGGAGGAACAGGGCTGATGAATAAATAGTAGCATGAGAGGGAACGCCCTCTTTGGCTTCCGAGGTAGGGAGGTGGGAAGATAAGAGTGCTGTTCATCAGAACAAACCAACAGGGATTTGGGAGTTTGGAGAGCAGACTCTTTTTAAGAGTTTCCAGAATGAGGGCGCGTGGGTGGCTCAGTTGGTTAAGCGACTGCCTTCGGCTCAGGTCATGATCCTGGAGTCCTGGGATCGAGTCCCACATCGGGCTCCCAGCTCAGGGGTGAGCCTGCTTCTCCCTCTGACCTTCTCCCCTCTCATGCTGTTTCTCTCTCTCTCGCTCTCTAATACATAAATAAATAAAATCTTAAAAAAAAAAAAGTTTCCAGAATGAGTCTCATATAAGTTCTGAGGCAGGAAGTTGAGAGAACATATCACAAGTGGTCACCTTGTGGGGGGAAATTGTAGCAAACAGTAATGTCAGTGTCTTAGCACTTAGGCCAGGAACCACAGGGCTCCTCCAAGGGTTTAAAGTAGAATGTGTAGAATACGATGTGTACAACTGGAGATATTTTCTAGGATCCAAGTAGAGCCCTTGTCTTAACCAAAGGACATGAGGTTTTGATCTCTCATACCTGCCAGATAAGTGGAATTACAGGCATTCAGCTCTAAGATTATATACATATAAACCTTATGAAGTTTTGCCAGATTGCACTTAATTGGTGTCCACAGAAGTGGAGTCTATGTTTGTTGCCTTTCCTCTTTCAGCTGGATATCTGTGATTCATGGGATGTAGGCTTGTGCTTCTTTACCTTTTCTAATAAGGTGTACTATTTTTAAGGTCCAAAAATTATTAGACTCCTCACAAGATGATAGTTGTATTTTTAGTATCTTTTTATGAAAAAATACATAACAAAAAGCTGCTGTGATTTCAATGATGCTTTAAAAAAATTTTTTTTTTTTTTAAAGATTTTATTTATTTATTTGAGAGAGCACATGAGAGGGGTTAGAGTCAGAGGGAGAAGCAGACTCTCTGCCGAGCAGGGAGCCTGATGCGGGACTCGATCCAGGTCCGTCAGGATCATGACCTGAGCCGAAGGCTTAACCAACTGAGCCACCCAAGCGCCCTTAAAAAATTTTTTTTTTAAAGTAATCTCTATACCCCATGTGGGGCTCAAACTCAGGACCCCGAGATCAAGAGTCATATGTTCTTCCAACTGAGCCAGCCAGGCACCTATCAGTAATGCTTTTAAATCAGTTTGTCTTTATTAGTAACACCATAATCTACATCCAGTTGAAATATAGTATATAAATATTTGTAAGATATATTATTTATTCAGACAGAAGATGGTGCTTATACAGATTCCTTATAATAGCTCCATGGCCCCACAGAGGTTCACATTCCATGCCTGGGTTGTGAATCACTCCTATGGATTGAGGTTAAGATGTGTGTTCAGAAAACTACCTATTCATGCATGGAAATTTGTAGGCTTATTTGAAGTCAGTGATATCAATAATTTTTAAAGCCAGGCTATAAATATTTCACATTTCTGTTTGACCAAGTCTTGAGATAAGCAGAATACATAAAATGTGAATTCTTTAGAAATGGGACTTCTGACTTGCTGTTGCTTTGTTTATTCTACTTAGAGCTAATAGTCCAGTGCTCTTGAATGTCTTAACAAGCTTGGACAGCGGTCGTGTATCCTTTTGCAGATTTTTATGTGTGGACTATAAATAGTATAGCACAATGGATGAAACGTTTTCTGTAGTAGGATGTGGCTTCTTCATGAGACTTCCAGTGATTGTGTAATGTTGGGAAATTTCAGAAGATTCTTTGAATAGTAAAAAGCAGAAGACATCTCCACCCATATGAGCTTAAAATTTAGTTAGAAACAAAACCTACATAAAACAGGAAGAGAAAGATTTAAGTGAACATAATTTAATGGAGAAAACTTTGGAGACTTTGGAGTCAGAATTCAAATGGTTGTGGGTTTAAAATCTAGAGTCTCAGATTTGATCCTCAGAGCAATGCTATAGAAACGGAAGATAGAGTAGGCAAGATTCCATTTAGAGATAAGTAAACAGAAATCACATCTCAAAACTTCATTTGCCTAAGGACACAGCTGGTACACTGAAGAGCCAGAATTTGAATCCAGGTGTTTTGACTCCATGCCTCGTCTTTTTTACCTCCATGAGGCACAAAATCCAAAGTCCTTAGGTTGAGGGTCTATGCCATCACTAGTAAGGGTCTAACCCATCTTTTTCAGCCTTTTCTCTCTCTCTTCTCACAAACCTTCACTCCCACATTTGGCAGGTCCTGGCCAAGGATCACAGGTAAGGTGTCTGTTTCCTTTTGATGGCTTGCCGTTTAGCTCCAGTTAAATTGTCTGTGTTCTTAACCTCGTAATTCATGTAGTTCCTCCTATCAAGGTAAATCCTGTCGTTGTCCTCCTCCTCTCCTCACCCTGCCCCCATTTAACTATGACAAGAGGTCATCTGTCCAAAGAGAAAGACAAGAGGATTTGTGAATTTAGGAGAAAGGAAAAGGCTGCAAATATCGCTCTGGGCATTTATTTCAAAGGAAAGAGATGGGACCAAAGAGACTGACAAGTACTCAGTTGAAGCTGGGCATTATGCTCTGTGGTGCACCTGGGCACACAAAGCTTCTTCCTCCAGCCACGCTGTGGGGATGCTCTTGAATGCCAGGGTCTCTCCATTTCTTCATTTCATGCCAAGTCAGTTACTGGCTCTGTCTCTCTTTGCCTATCCTACCTATCTTTGCTTGTTTCTTCTCTCTTCTTTTTAGTGTTAAATAAAAATTTCTTCAAAAAGAATTGGTGTTCTCATTTTGTTTGGCTTGCTTGTTTATTTTACTGTGTTGGAGGAAGGGGGGAGGAAAACTTTTTCTTCAGTACAAAAACACACATACCACATACTTATCCAATGTTTGAGTGAGAACTGTCCGCCAGCTACTTTTGTAAAAGTTGTTCTTTTTTTTTTTTTTCTTAAGTGGTTACAGAGGTGGGAAGAAAGGCAGGTTTGTTATGGCAGTGAGGAGGGGAGCTCAAGGAATACATTATTTGTCCCACCTTACATTTCCCAGGTTCTTGGCATATTTAGCATCTCTTCCCCTGTGCTGTTTTCTTCTCTGTGTATGTTGTAATGTGAAAGGTAGCAAGCTAAAGAGAGTCAGGTTTATCTTGCTGTAACTTGTTTTTTTAAAGTTTCTGGCACAAGGCTTACAAAGCTGTAGAAAGAAAAAGGAAAGTTTGTATTACTGTCATACAACTTAGATACCTGATAATTCATTGTTTGGTCCTGGTGACTAGGGAGGGAATGGAAAGGAAAGAAGGAAGGGTATATAAAACTCTTCTCTATAATCAGTTGTATCTTATTGCTAAAGTTGCACTTGTGACCTCTAGCAAATCTGACTGGGCTGGTGGAAGTGGGGAGGAAGCCAACCTTCAGTGTCTCCTTGTGGGAAGGTAGGGCAATCAAAGAAGAAATAGATGCCTCCCAAAAATTCCAGGTAGGTTTTCCATGTGAAGGCTGACACAGTGATAGGACAGGGATACTCACTGAAGGTGGTTTCATGAGCTAAGGGAGGCCCAGAGATCCAGGAAACTTCCCATCCTTTTTTTTTTTTTTTTTTTTGAAGATTTTATTCATTTATTAGAGGGAAAAGCAAACTCCCCACTGAGCAGAGAGCCTGATGTGGGACTCGATCCCAGGACCTTGATATCAGGACCGAAGCTGAAGGCAGACGCTTAACCAACTGAGCCACCCAGGCACCCCTTTCTCATCCTTTTGATAACATACAAGCATCCTAACTTGATCTACGTGATCTCTCTGGGCCTGACAAAATGTGTGTCCTTTTATTCTACTGAACATTACCCTTTCCATAGTTCTGCTAAGCCTTCATTTGGGGGGAGAAGGATAAAAGGCATCAACTATCAAAAGTTCATTCCCTTTACCTGATTGGAAAGGGGAAAAGAGCTGAGAGAGTTTTTACTCTAGCATAACTTGGGAGTCAAAGGTAGTAAGTGGTCATAGATTGCATGGTTAGACTCAAATTTCCTTTTCAGAGTAGTTGTTTCTGTATGAAGAAATACAATTTATTTTACTAACAGAGTAGCTAACTATCTGAGGGAATTTAGATTCAATAAAGAATTAGGTCTAAAGGGTCAGACTGCTTGATATTCACAACTGTATAGGCTTATGTTTGGCACGTCCAAGGATCATAGGTAAGGTCTGTTTTCTTTTGATAGTTTGCAGTTAAGAGGCTGGAATAACGGGGCACCTGGGTGGCTCAGTCGGTTAAGCATCTGCGTTCAGCTCAGGTCATGATCCCAGTGTCCTGGGATAGAGCCCCACGTTGGGCTCTCTGCTCAGTGGGAGCCTGCTTCTCCCTCTCCCTGCCACTTCCCCTGCTTGTACTCTCTGTCAAATAAATAAATGAAATCTTGAAAACACACACACACACACACACACACAAACCTTAAAAAAAAAAAAAGGCTGGAATAAGGGAGTGTTAGGTGATCCTATTTGGGAGGAGGCAATCTCAGAATAGGGAGCGTGGTGAAGGAGTTGAGAGAGAAGATACGTAGCATATAGTAGGTAATTACTGAGAGCACATGGTTTTGGGATGAGAAGGTCCTGTATTCCTGTGAACTGGAGCAACATTTAAGCTCTTTGTGTCTGTTTACTGATGAGTAATCAGGGAATGTTTGCCTGGAAGGGTTATATGGGGTAAGAATCACCATATGTAAAACCTAACCCATCATACAAATTCTTTAAACAAATTTAATAAGAGCTTACTATGTGCCTGGTACTGTCTTTTTGTTGGGGTAAATGAGACAAAGCCCCTGCATTTATAGAGCTTATATTCTGGTGGCATGCAAACAGTGGTAGTTATTGATTAGAGGAAAGCTTTAAAAAAAATGGAATTAAGAATGCCAAGGATAGGGACTCCTGGGTGGTTCAGTCGGCTAAGCGACTGCCTTCGGCTCAGGTCATGATCCCAGGGTCCTCGGATCGAGTCCCGCATCGGGCTCCTTGCTTGACAGGGATTCTGCTTCTCCCTCTGCTGCTCCCCCTGCTTGTGCTCTCCCTCTCTGTCTCTGACAAATAAATAAAATCTTAAAAAAAAAAAAAAAAAAAGAATGCCAAGGACAGGCGGGGCGCCTGGGTGGCTCAGTCAGTTAAGCATCTATCTGCCTTTGGCTCAGGTCATGATCTCAGGGTCCTGGAATCGAGTCCCGCATTGGGCTCTCTGCTCATCGAGGAGTCTGCTTCTCCCTCTCCCTCTCCTTCTGTGTTCTCTCCCTCTCAAATAAGTAAAACATTAAAAAAAAAAAAATGCCAAGGACAGGCAAAGAGCTGCATCAGTTACTGATTATGCAAAAATGTAATGGCAAATCATCGTGAGTTCCAATCTGTTATCTAATAGGGAAACCCATGATCTATATTGATGTAATGCTCAGAGGACTCACCTACAAGTGTCTATACTCAATCTGCCCATCAGCCTTTGTCAAAGAGCTGCATTTTTATTTATTTATTTATTTTTTTAAAAGATTTTATTTATTTGAGAGAGAGCATATGAGAGGGGGAGGGTCAGAGGGAGAAGCAGACTCCCTGTCGAGCAGGGGGAGCCCGATGCGGGACTTGATCCCAGGACTCCAGGATCATGACCTGAGCCGAAGGCAGTCACAACCAACTGAGCCACCCAGGCGCCCAAGAGCTGCATTTTTAAAACCCACCTCCAGACCTGGTCTGACTTTTGCCTTCTTCATAGGCAAATATCTGTTGCCTTAACTTGTAGTCTTCTGTTGGCCCAGTGAGTAGAGGCAGCTGTATTTATTTATTTGCCTCTCCCACAAGCTTGCTTTCC